ACAACATCAAGACCACACTCTCCAACCGTTTTTCACTCAAAGACCTTGGACCACTATATTTTTTCCTAGGCATTGAAGTCCTTTCACAATCAACTGGATTATTTATTTCTCAAACCAAGTACATAATGGACATCTTGTAAGAGTTCTCTATGCAGGACTGCCAGATGTTTCTACACCATTATCCACCAAGATTTCACTTAGGTTGAATGATGGCTCCTCTCATATAGATGCAAAACAATAGCGAAGTGCAATTGGCAAGCTCCAGTATCTTGCATTTACTAGACCAAACATAAGCTTTGTTATTAATAAGCTCTCCCAATTTATGCATCATCCATCTCACACACACTGGCAAGCAGTGAAGCGCCTCCTTCAGTATCTCAAATCAACTATCCATCATGGGCTTCTTTTTCACCATGAATCTAATGCTGCCCTTCATGTTAATACCAATGCAGATTGGGTAGGGGACCACGATGATCGTACCTCTACTTCTGCTTATGTTATCTATCTTGGCTTAACACCAATTAGTTGGTCATCAAAGAAACAAAGAACAGTCGCCCGACCTTTAACTGAGGCCGAGTATCGTGCCGTTGCTCATGCTGTTGCAGAAACAAATTGGCTTACCAATCTTCTCAAAGAGTTTCGTATCTCTCTTGATAATGTACCAACTATCTACTGCGACAACATTGTCACCACCTACTTCTGCCAAAATCCAGTTTTCCACGGTAGAATGAAGCACATAGCCATTGATTTCCATTTTGTCAAGGACCAAGTCCAACATCAACAACTCCGGATAGTACATGTTCACTCAGCTGATCAGCTAGCTGACGTACTTACAAAATCTTTATCCAAAGCCCAAACTCAATGGGTTCTCTCCAAGTTAGGGGTCGTTCCACCACCCGCTAACTTGCGGGGGGCATAAAGAAGCTAAATGATGATGAGATATTTTCCATATCAGTATCATATATTCTGATTTCATTATTGTATATTCTCTGATTATTTACCTTTAATTACTTGATAGGATTCATTAGTTTTACTGATATTGTGGGATCTTTTACCACACAATTCTTTTGTATTTAAACAACACATTGTATCAATGAAAGACACAAAACATTTCTCTTGTGTATTCTGCTCCTTTAACAACTCCATGTTTTAGTGGCGACCTTGAAGTACTTACAACTACTTTCGAAGCGGAATATGATTTGTGGCAATATATGAAATCGCCACAAAATAGATATTGTAGCGACTAAACTAGCCACAAAAAGTATACCAATATGCCCAAATGAAGTTCCACAATATTCCTCTGTCGTCGCCACAAATGAAGTTCCACACGATGTAGCCACAAAATGGATAAATACGACAGAGGAACATTGGCTGGCGCCATGTACTAACAATATTTTCCCATGGACAGCCTCCATGGGAAAATACAATAGCAACACTTTTATATTCTTGGGCCTTAAGTTTTTATTATTCACAAAGTTTTTGTTCTTTAACATTTACTCTTATTTCATTGAATCGTTCTCGGAGATAAAGCTAGCAACACCAGATTCAGTGCTCATCTGCATTAAGTTTCATATGACTCACTTTCTATTTTACTTTATTGATCACTTTTACATCGTATTTTACTTATTAATACTGTAATATTTTAACTGCTAATATATAATCAAAATGTAATGAGTTAAACTAAGGTACAAATTCTTGACCTCATACAAATTTAACTGTACCATTATTAGTGTAACTTGTTTTTCCTAATTTCATTAGAATGATTCTTTTCCTCATTATTATAAAAAAAAAATTATTTATGTTTTCCAAAATATTTGACCTACCGAACATACAAAAGTTGTAAAACACTTTCTTATGCTGCGTGCTGTTGAAATAAAAAAGTTTCTCACTGATGGAAATCATTTTTATTGTTTACAACTCTAATATTGCTAGCTAGCAAATGGAACCTTCTACTATAGTTATGCCCGTGACTTAACTGGAATCTGCATGATATAGTTTAAGGAATGCCCTTTTCCTAATTTTCCACTAACTAACAAAAACTAACCTCCATCGTTAGTCTCAGCGAGAAAAAAGGTTTCGCACGCACAAATATTCTATGACTTTAGAATATCTAAAAGTTCAAAGTTCAAACCCTCGAGCAAAAAACAATAATAAAAGAAAACAATTAGGATGTAGACAGAGGCAGAGCTAGGTGGGGGTTCGTGGGTTTGGACGAATCTCCTAGCTTTCCCGTAAAGTTTGTATTTGTATTAAAAAATTAAATAAATATATATGTCTATTAACTTGTGAACCCCCTAACAAGATTGATTGATAGTCGAGTGGTAAGGAAGAGCGGTGAAAATGCTTTTCACACATTTGTTGTGGGTTCCAACACCTTTATCTTTTGTTTTATAATTTAGAACTCTAAACTCCTAATTCTGGCTCAGCCTCTGGATGTAGATATCGTTTGTTTTGATATGACAACTAAACTAATATACTTCACAACATGACCTGCGGGAGTAATTAACGTAATTAGGTTAATTAATGCAACAACCACATCCCGTGATTCTAAATGAGGCTCCTGCTTATATTTCAAAGTTTTGAACTGTTTGCAACAAATCTAGAGTGCAATTATAAATAAAATACGACTAAACATAATTTTTTTGATAAACATTATAGGTACAAATTTGTTTATTAGCTTGATTCTTCTCTCTTAAGATTTTTCCGTGATTTGAGAATCATTAATGATGTATTTCTCGAACTAGGACGATTTGAACTTACTTGAGATTTATTTGATCTCCATTGATTTTTGTGAATATTTGATGAATTTGCAAAATATTCGAGATGTCTTTTCAAGGGAATATAATACCTCTTGGGCATAACCTAGGATTTAAGGTAAAAAGTAGCTTCCAAGAACCCTAACTGAAATAGAACTCGTATGGTAGAGTCCTACAAAATTTCGATGTCTATATGATTATAAAAATGATATTCCATGTTTGAAAGAACAAGAAAAAACAGTAGAGACCACAACCCGATCGAACCTACAATTTTTTTTTCTTTTTTAATCCTCAACTATAGAAGGGAACCGTTATGAAAGCAAATAATGACAATGGGTAAGAGTTTATATTAACGTCCTAAGAATTCCAAAATTGTCAATCAAATGTGGATTAATTTTATAAACGAATAATTTTTTTCATATCCACCTACCAAATGTTGTATTAATTATATACATGAGTAACTTTTTTCTTATCCATCTATCAAACGTCGTATTAATTATATACATGAATAATTCTTATCCATCTATCAAACGTCGTTTAAGTTATACATACTCTAATACATGAATAAGCTAAGACAGGTTCGAGCCCTGGGTATGTGGAAAATCCTGTTGGGAGCGCCACCTCCGAATGAACCCTGCAGAGCACGATCCGGATTTAGTCGGAGCTCCAAGACACCGGATGGAAAACCGAAACAAAAGAAAAAAGAATAAGCTAAGACTTGTTTTATACCGCTACCAAACGACCCCTAAGGGTGTAGATAGCGTTTGTGTTGATATGACAACTAAACTAATATATATACTTCACATCATGACTAATTAACGTAATTAGGTTATATAATGCAACAACCACATCCCGTGATTCTAAGGCTCCTACTTATATTTCAAAGCTATGATCATTTATAAAAATGATATTCCATGCTAAAAGAAGAAGAAAAGAAACAGTAGAGACCACAATCCGATCGAACCTATAATATTGTTTTTTTCTTTTTTCATACTCAACTATAGAATAGAACCGCTGCGAAAGCAAGTAATGACAATGGGTGAGAGTTTATATTAAGGTCTCAACTCTCAAGTAATTAATATTCTCTTTGTCTCAATTTATGTGACACAGTTAAAATTTTCAGATTCAGACTTTTGAACTTTGACAGTAAATTCAAAAATAAAAACTTAAATATTTTTTAAACAAGATTTTTATATTTGAAAACTACATAATGTTTCCTTAGTATAAATTACAATAATTACTCCCTCCGTTCTTTTTTAGTTGTTAAATTAACTCTCAAAAAACACAACATGACACCTAAAAGGGAACAGAGGAAGTAATAACTTAAAATATTTAAAAGACATATAAATAAATTCCGGTAAAAAAAGAACTTAGTTGATTTGCCGTATCCATTTAATAATTTTGAGAAAAAAGATTAGTTTGTTTTGTTCCAATTTACATGGTTTTCCATTTGATAATAAATTAAGATGAAACAGTTTATAATTGACGTACAATATCTGGGGAGAGTTGGCAAAATAGCCACCATAAAGACTTAATGTGTCATTAAGTCACAAGTCTTGAATAATTTGTAGTATACCCACTATTAATGACATCATCCACATGCCCTAATTAACACATACACAAGACCCCACTTAGTTTTCATATCTCCACTTTGATCTCCCCCTTCTTTTCCAACTAATTCGGAATAATATATTTATTTGCAATTGTTAAAATTTATATTAGAAAAAGAAAAGAATCTCCAAACGGAAACAAGAGTAGCTCGTTTTTGCTGCTGTTGACTTGTCGATTCCGGCGAGTTTTCGGGCCATAATATCTATTTCCAAGGTAAAATCATCATCCTACTCCATATTCATGTTTACTCCATTTTCTTTCAAAACCAAGATTCAAATTAGTTTCCCGCCATTTTAGAAATTTGAGAAATCTTCCATAATAATCACTTGATAACTCATTATAGATACATTTTAGTAGTTTAAAAGCATTAAAAATTTGTTTCGCCATTGCAGGAGCTGAATTTTGAACCCCAATCTAATCTAGTCGCATTTTTGTACGGATTTCGTACCTCATAGACTGATAATGTAATCTATTATCGATATTTGTAGTTTATAATGACAGTAGCTGAATTTGTTGTTGCTGGTGGAAGATAATATGGGAGTATGGGAGGAGACTCCCAAAAGCTGAAATTGGAAATATTTTAGTAAGACGAAAGTTCCCATTACGTTGCGTCGCAATGGTTCATATGACGATATGATTGCAAGCGTAATTGAGGCCTGTGAGTTAACTTGCGAGCCAAATGACTTGGTGATTAGCTATCAAATGAATGGAAAGGGAAAAATACATCCCACATTCATAAAAAATGATTGACACGTTAGCTTGTACATGTTAGATATTGGTATTGATAGCTCTAGGCCTACATTGAGGATACACGTCAATGCGAGGCCTCCAATTGAATCAACAAATTCATTTGACGACGATAATGATTCTATTAGAAATGAAAGATTGGGTGACATGCAAAGGAGAGCTTGGGTGATCATTCAAATGAAAGTTTGGGTGATCATTCAATGAATATACATGATGATCTAATTAATGTGGAAAATCAGATAGTAGATGCGGAAGATCCTGAATGCGAATGTTGTAAAGAAATGCAGGGAGAAGAGGAATTGAGATCACAATCCAACCATTCCTTCTCCGATGGAACTAATTTATGCATAAATCAAACTTTCAGTAACAAGAATGAGTTGCAATTGTTATTAGCCGAAGCGGCGGTAAAGAAGTCTTTTGATTTTGCTACTTTGAGGAGTTGTACTAAATATTTAAAGGTGAAATGTGTATCTCAGAATTTTGCATGGATGTTGCGAGCGAGAAAATATGAATGTTCAGATAGATTTCGTATCTACAAGTACATTGGCAAGCATAGTTGTGGCGTTGAACATGCCAACAGTAGCCATAGAAAAATCTCAATCAAAGTCATTGCTTCACTTTGTGTAAATATGTATCGTGATGGCAAGGGTCCAAATGTTAAAGAGATTCAAACGGTTATGTTTAATTCTTTTCGTTGTAGTCCAAGTTATTGGAAATGTTGGAAGGGAGGTATGGTTGCCAAGGAGATGGTCCAAGGGACAACGGAGAACGGATATTCATGCTTATCGGTTTTTTCCTACACGTTCGAGACACTTAATGTTGGTTTTTAGCTATTCTATCTTGGTAAACAAGGATAGTCATATGTTCATGTATTATTTCTTAGACTTTGATGCTTGCATTAAGGGATTTGCCCACATGAGAAAGGTAATTGCGGTTGATGGCACTCATTTACATGGTAAATACGAGGGCGTGTTGTTGAGCGATGTTGCACAAGATACGGAGAATCATGTTTATCCAATTACTTTTTGTGTCGTGGACAAAGAGAATGATGCAACTTGGACATTCTTCTTTGAGAAATTGAAGGAGATTGTGGTCAATGAACCAGATTTGTGTTTTATCTCCGATAGACATAAGAGCATCGCCAACAGTATTATGAACGTTTACAATCATGCTCACCACGGATATTGTATGAGGCACCTCGATGAAAATTCCCGCGTAAATAATCACTATGGAGATAACCTTTATCTTTACTACAATGCGGCAAAGGCTTATTCTTCGGAAGAGTTTGACAATCATTTTGTCGAATTCAAGAACAAATGTCCCGCGACAGCCGTCATCCTTGAGTATGATATAGGTTTTGAGAAGTGGAGCAGGACACATTTTCCTGGCAATAGATATGATGTGATGAGCACAAATATCGACGAGTCACTCAATGCTATGTTGATAGACGAAAGAAAGTATCCCGTGGCATCAATATTTAATTCGATTGCTAAGAGGTTTGGAGAATTGTTCAGGGAGAGGCATGCATATATACTTAAATCAATGGGTAATCAAATGGTACCTTCTGCCGAAAAAATTGCAAGAAAGAAAATGATCTAGGGCGACTCTTTATCTGTGGAGAACGTAACCAGGGACGGCAATCAATTTATCGTGTTCGGTGGTGATGTTACTTCCTATGTGGACCTACTGGAAAAGTCATGTTCTTGTAGGGAATATGACTTGATCAAGATACCTTGTGCTCACGCGATGGACGATTTGCGATCGAAACATGGCAACGAGTATGGTATGGGCATTTATAAGTACTCTTCACCTTTGTATAAAGTTGAATCATACCTCCTTGCATACTTAGATTCCATTAATGTTGTTCCTTTCAGGTCGGAATGGTGTGTGCCAGAAGAATTGCATAATGTGAAGATTTTTCCGCCTCTTGTCAATACCAAGCGTGGAAGAAAACGTGTCAAAGGTGTCGGTGAGAATTTCAAGAGCAAGATAAGTGTAACATCTCGCAACTAGAAAGAACTAGAAGGAAGTTTAAAATCTGGAAATAGTTATTTTTGGGAAGAATTTAAAAATCTGGAAATTTGGTAAAGGTGTTAAAGTGAATTTTTGGTCAACTTCGAACGGCCATAATTCCTAGATCAGGATTAGTTATGTGTGATTCCAGAAATGGTTGGAAAGCCCTTGGAACGATCTTTCCAATGCCGCCATGTTTGAGTGATTTTGAGTTCGTATGAGCAAGTTATGCAATTCGGAAGTTGGGTTGTTCAAATATGAAAATGTCCAATCCGGATTTAAAAGGGGTATTTTAGTCTTTTCCTTGCCCTATTATTTTAATTCATTTTTAGGAGATTAATTGGGGTAAAACCAGATTATTGTTAGTTTAGAAAAGTTAGAGTTCACGCTAGGGCTTGGAGAAAAGAGAAAAGAGGAGAAAAGAGAAGGAAGTTCAAGATTCGTCGAGATTAGCTTGTGGATTTCTTCGGGGGTGATCCCTACAAGGTATGTGAGATCACATAGCGTTTGGTTAGTTCACCCACGCGCCAATCATGATTCAATTTCAGCGAAGTTATTAGATTTGAAAGTTAATCCTTGAGTTGTTGATGAAATTCATTTTAATTCTTGTGGGTTGTGTTGTTGGAGTTTTCTTGAGATTGATTCATGTTGTTAGTTGTTTTTTTCCGAGTAGAATTTGATGTATATTGAGGGTATAAATGATTCTAAGTGCTTAGGGAAAGGACTATTGAAGTTTAGAGATGAAAAATGAGTAAGAAAAATCGGGAATTTTCTGGGCAAGGGCTTGGGGCACCGCGCTTCCCAAAGCGCCACAAAAGTTGGTGACGCACCAGCCAGAGCACTACAACTTCAGCTCTGAAATTTGTGCTCTGGCGCCCCGTGCCTCTCAGAGCGCCAAGGTCGCTAGTTCCTCCCATTTCTTCCCCAATCTTTCGTATTAGTTCCTTAGCAATGTACCTATATTTTCTAGTTGATTCCAACGCTCTAAGGTACATCTAAACATCATGAAATCATCCATAAACTTGAGATCATGAACCTTGAATCCATAATCCAATTCAAGGAAAGTTAAGAGTCAAGTCAAGAGAAGTTCTTAGAGTTTTCCAAAAGTCTTTTCCAAATGTTTTAACTTTGTTTTAAGACTTAAAGTTCAAGTTGAGTAAAGATTAAAGAGTAAGTTTGAAGTTCATTTTTTCAAAATTATATGGGAACTATGTATTCCCAAAAAGGGTTTAAAATGTTTTCACATTTAAACAAGAAAGGAAACCTCGATTTCCAAAGAGCCTTCGGGCTAGTTTTCAGAAAAGAGTAACCGCTTTCTAAATGAAGAAAGAGGGGAAACTTTGATTTCTAAGATAGTCTTTGAGCTAAATTTTTGAGCACTAATCTCAAATCACAGAAGAAGTATGTTTTTTTTAAAAAACATAAGAGCTAGTATATTTTGGGAGTAATATTGAGCACCCAATTGGGGGCGAGCATGAGTTCAGATAACTCACGTCTCCATAAACCATGTACCCACCATGGGTAGAAAAGGGTCATACTTTTTAGATGAACCCTTTTCACAATAGACTAGTGGATCCACTTAGTAGTTCAGGTCTTATACCTCTGGCAGGGTATAGGATGCACTGGTAGCGTGATGTAGATCGTTGTATCATCCCTATAGCTCTTATGTGATGGTTGTCTATTAGAGAAACTCCCACAAAAGTTATTGAATTTTTATATACTTCAGTTTATTGTATTTTTATATACATTTCAGAGTTATATTGTATCCTTGTATATACACAGAGTTGACATCATGTTTTTAAACAACTTTTCTTTATATTGCACTTGTTTTAAACTGCTTTATATTGAAATGATTTCAGTTAAGTATTCATGAGTTGAGAAGTTAAGCGTTCCTTTTAGATTCCCTTTCATGCCTATGTTGTTTTAGCATTCCAACTCACATACTCGTACATTCAATGTACTAATGCCAGTTGGCATGCATTGTCTTATGATGCAGATATAAGTAACTATGATCGGCATCCAGCGTATCATTGATCCAGTGAACAGTTCAGAGTCTGTTGGTGAGCCTCTTTGCATTCTGGATTACTCATTTTCATTATTTTCAGTTTAGTATTAATTCATTAGGATGTCGTGGACCTGTCCCGACATCCATCTCAGTTGTTTAGAGGCTTCATAGACGGACAGTCAGTTGGTTAATTCAGTTTTCTTTACTTTTCGTTTCATATGTTTAAAGACTTGAGTTTGCCTAAATGGCCAGTTGAATGTTCCTTTATGATATTCTAGTTCTTCATAAATGTTTATGTGATGAGTTAAGTCTTCCGCTGAGTTAGTAAGCCAGGTCAAGGGTTCGCTTGAGGCCAGCATTGGTCTTCGAGTGCCAGTCCCGCCCAGGGTGTAGGCTTGGGGCGTGACAAGAAGGAACAAATGTTCAATCTGTAAGAGAATCGGACACAAGAGAACTACATATGTGAACAACAACAAATCTTAAAGAAGCTTGATTGAATTTGTTTTTGTAATCAAGCTACTGTTATTTTTGGTGCCAGCATTTTGGTCAATTTAGTGTCATCTATTATCATAATTAGTCGTGATCTAATATAGATTAATAAAAAAATGACATACATTTTGTACGCTATCTATTAATGTTTATTATCGAGTTCACTCGTTCTCTATTAAACTGTGTATTATTAATATATGAAAACTCATGGTATTCATGATGCAATGATTTTAATACATGAATTAGAATGATTAAAGAAGGAAGTGTTGTAAAAAAAGTCATAATCTGAAGTTGTGTATTATAATGCATGTGTATTATTATTATTATCATGCATATTATTTTTAATGCACCTAATCAAACTCTCCATAAGAAATAATCTAAGTATAACTAATCCAAAAATGACTAATACAAACATTATCTGAATATACACTCTACCAAACGCACCTTAAAGAATTAATAAAAAATCATATGTTACTGTTGAAATATGTATATGAAAATATGTACTGGTTGTCAAATTATATAGACCCCTTACACAATCGATGCATATTTCTGTGTGTGGTGTGTGTATGATCAATGAGATTTACACTCTGACATTAGTAAGGTATATTCGGGTTTATGTCTATTTTAAAGCATTGTCGATACTTCACCTACTAGAATCGGACACTTATATATAGACCAAAACTAGTAGAATTTAGAAAATACAACAATTAATTAATAATAAATTATATTTTTAAAATTTATCCAATTAAATGAGTTTAAACAAGTCATATGATCATGTAAGAGTCCACATAAATTGGGTGTGGTGATTAGAGATGTATGAGGAAAAGGTGTGGTTATACAATCAACATCCTTAGAACAATGTTTGAGAAAACATAAGTATGTTGTAAGGATATCACTTGTTTAACGACACATTGTTGATTGCCACCCCTATTTATGTAGACTCATACATTATCACATGCTTATGTTCTAAAGATGTTCATTGTATAACCACACATAACAAGTTACATCCTTACATCATACTTATGCTTTCTCAAATATTGTTATAAGGACGTTGATTGTATAACCACAACTCTTCCTCATACATCTCTAATCACCACACTCAATTTATGTGGACTCTTACATGATCATATGACTTGTTTAAACTCATTTAATTGGATAAATTTCAAAAATATAATTTATTATTAATTAATTGTTGTCTTTTCTAAATTCTACTAGTTTTGGTCTATATATAAGTGTCCGATTCTAGTAGGTGAAGTATCGACAATGCTTTAAAATAGACATAAATCTGAATATATCTTACTTAATATTATATTTTTGGGAGTAGTATTTGAGCTAATTTCATTTTTAAAAAATTGAAGATTTCATGAACAAATTCTCAATCAAACTTAAACTATTTAACTCTCGAAAAATGAAAAATATTATAATTTAGGGAGTATTGTTTTTAGAACTGATTAAAAAAGTGAATAGTGTAATTTAGGATAGAAAGAGTATTATATTCCTTGTAGCAGTATAAATACCCTGCATGCCATTACATTTGTTCATTCATCTTTGCAACGATTTGTGTGCTTTAGCTTCCTTACAATAACATGGCTTCTAAAACTAAAGCCTCATTGGTTACCCTTTTCCTCTCCTTCAATCTCCTCTTCTTCGCCATAGTCACTGCAACTAATACTGATTGTGCCTTCTGTCCTTATCATCCTCCTGGTAGCGGTGGCAGTGGAGGTGGCGGTTCAGGCAGTGGAGGTGGAGGTTCGGGCAGTGGAGGTGGAGGTGGAAGTGGAAGTGGAGGTGGAGGTTCGGGCAGTGGAGGTGGAGGTGGAAGTGGAGGTGGAGGTTCGGGCAGTGGAGGTGGAAGTGGAGGTGGTGGTTCGGGCAGTGGAGGTGGAGGTGGAGGTGGAGGTGGAGGTGGAGGTGGAGGTGGACAAGTAAGGTGTCCAAGAGATGCTTTGAAACTTGGTGTGTGTGCTAATATACTTAATTTGGTGAATGTAGTAGTGGGGTCTCCACCAACTTTGCCATGCTGCAGTTTGATACAGGGACTGGCAAATCTAGAGGTGGCAGCTTGTTTGTGCACAGCCATAAGAGCAAACATACTGGGCATAAATCTGAATGTGCCACTCACTCTTAGCCTCATTCTCAACAACTGTGGAATGAATAATAGTGGCTTCACTTGCTAAGCATTCTGCTCTTTCAAATATGTCTCTTATCATTATCATGAATTTCCTTGTCTGTCCTTGTCTTATGATAGTTATATTGTTATAAATAAGCGAATTTGCAACATCACCTTATTAAGCAAGATTCGTGAACCAGTTGATCATTTTACATTTGTGGTTTAATACTATTATATATGGACTGTCTTTTCTATTTCATAATATATATAAGAATAAGAATATTTATATTTTGGGTTTCGTTTGACTACTCTTCTAGTGTTTCTTTTTTTGGTCAAAAGTAAAAAAACGTGTGTCTTAACTCTCTACATACCTTATGTAGTTTGAGCTTACTCAAT